AATATCATACAGGTTCCCAGCTTATTTGATCATTTCATTACAAGAGAAAGTTTTCTTGATTTAAATCATCTAATTAAATAAGAAATGTTGTTCAATCCCTATGCTTATAATAGGTGATCCCTTTAGACCTTTTTCTTTAATTTCAAATAAAACACTCAAAACCGGACTGGATTTCAGCTTCTTTATTATTATCTGAAAGAACAATCCCGGACATTTAATTTTTAAAAATAATTCCATTTAAATGTTGGCTACGACTACGCTGTAGGGGGTCCATTCCGAAAGTCCAATTTTCAATTAATCTTTACAGGTTTGCATCGTAGCTGCGAAAGCGATTGAAATCACCCTATAAACGTACATTAGGGTGCATCCCCCAAAAACTTTGCAGTTTTTCCACCCCGGAATTATGAATTGTATTATATTTTATATCTTCTGTGAAAATATTTCAGAAAAATATTAAGATCTACGAAAGCTAGACCGAATGGGAAATATCTACATAAATCTCATTATTTTAATTGCGCTGATAAAATGGTTAAACATTTTTATGCACACCTTTCAAGCTTAAACTCTGCTATACTATGAGTTGATTTTTTTTTAGAAAAAAAATGTTTTTAAAAACTTTTTTATTTATAAAAAACTCGATTTTTCGAGGTACTTTGAACTAGGTGCAGCTCACGTGAATTTTAATATTTTCCAGAAATACTTTGGCGGAAGTCTTAAAATATACTAAGTTTTATCTTTCCGATGCACAGTGAGAGAAATCACGAAAAAGCTGATAATATATAGTTAAAATTCTTTGGTGAATGTTAGTATAAGGTGTTAATATAAACAAACTCCGCCCACAAGTGCGCCCACTTCCCATACAACGGTATTTTTTAAAAACTCAAGTTGTTATACAGGGTGGGCCAAATAAGACCCACCAATGTTAAACACGTATAACTTCTTTATTTTTTAATATTATTGTTATTTTCATTCTGCATGTTATAGTTAATCTCTTTGAAAATCATAATAAATACTTACAGCTAGACCACCAACAACGACTACAATACGATATTCGTTTTACAAAATATGCCACACAAATTGATTTTCAACGGTAACTCTAGTACATAGATGCCTTATTCGCGACTTCATTAACAATAACATTGGGCGGTTGGGTACTGTTTCCTCGTTTTTTTCATCTTTTTAACCAATTTACGAGCCTTTATTCGAGCTGCATTGGCTACGTGGCTGTGCTCCGCCATAGATAAAAGTGAGCCTATGAAAACATGATGATAAATTAAAAAAAAACACGAGGAAAATAAAAAAGCGTATAAAACAAAAGCAAAAATATCTACCAGCTCTGAGACATGATGTGCTACGAGCAAGAGTATTACAATGGTGATGCCATTTCTAAGACATAAGGCCCTGCTCTTAGTGTTAACTAGACATTGAGACTCTGGCCCTTTGCTGCTATACAATCGTTGAGCGATTATAGCCGTCATCGATTCACCAACAGTTAACGAGTGGCAAAACCAACGAACTAAATGAGGTACAGCCAAACTCGCTATCATCTATCCATGGTAGTTACCTTTGTTGTTGCTTTACATCCAAAACTTTTCGTTAAGCGACCGGAACTCAAACATGGCGAGCAGAGAAGTTTAGAATCGGCTTATCGTATAAACACACAGTTGAGTATTTCAGTTGAACTGGGTGGTTGTGGATGTGATGCCACTTTTTCCAATAAAAAATATTTTCGCTAACTGAACTCTACATGTTCTGCTGGTTCGATAGCTGATTGAATAGAGTAGTGCCTCTCGAATTTCTTTACGTATTCATTTTAATATTTTCCCAAACAAATATACCAATTTTTAATTTAATAAATTTTGGGCAAATATCACAACGTCTTGCTGTGCTACAGTTTAATTAAATTGCAAAGAAATAACAGCATAAGCAGACGTTTTTAATAAAGATTTATAAGTTTACAACTCAGGTGGGCACAAAACTTTGTATGTTTTAAAAGAAAAATTTTCTGATTTACCGACTGCGATTTATGCACTATGCCTACACCTTTCACCTGGATTTAAAATAGCCTACTAGCCCAAAAGTAATGCAATTGCAGTGTGCAATGGCAACAACACAATAACTTACCACAAAGGGAAGTGACAAAAACATAGCAACCGGCTGCCTCAGATGGCAGGGCTGCTGGTGTGGAAATTATATTTCTATGCACAAATACAATAAAAAAAGTTTCTCAATTATGAACTAAAGCAATAATAATGGTAAGAGGAAAGGGTCACAGGCTTCAAAATAGTTTAATAGCAACTAACTACGAGTATTAGGGTGTGCTAAAAATGACTAAACAAACTACAAGTAAATTCGAACAGAATAATTTAAAAAAAGGAGTGGCAAATAATATTAAACAAACATTAACACCAAAAAACAAAACACTGGATTAATACTGCAACGTATAATTAGTAATGATGCAATGAATTTTTCTTGTAACGAAATGACCATGTAATGAATAATGCGTTCTGCCATAATATTAAAACTTTGTAACAAGTATAGGCAATACCGATGAAGTTATGAAAGTGTTAGTCCAAATTTTTTGATTAAAAAATTTATTTAAGGGTGATTGAAGTTCGCGCATAATCTAAATTTATGTATATATATTTTTTAACCACTACTAGTTTAGTTTAAATGCACTTATACTTTTTTGAAATAATCTACGCAAGAGACTTCAAAGCGAATGCAGAAATTACCAATGTCGATGTGAATTTCGTCATTTCAAAACTAAATTAATATAATTTACAATGAATGTTTTCGATTACTTCCACGCCTCTTTCGAGTTCGTTTCAAAACTCGAACATTTGTGTGAAATTTGGACAGAGCTGGTCCACGATGCATGCTAAAGTACCTCGGCCCTATGGCTAATCAACCATCTTATTACCGAATTATTTTTGAACCTAGCATTTGTTAAAAAATATCAATAATAATAAAATTTTATTTATGCATTCTTGATGGCTAACAACTGAAAGAGTTGTTATGCAACCAAAAACTGGACGTGATTAATAATGAAATGAAATTGAGCTAATAAGCTGGAAACTTAAATAAGACCTGATCGTGTCATAATATCTTCGCCAATATCGAAATATGTTGTCTGTTTCGCCACGACACATTACACAAATATTTGAAAATCCAAAAAAGAGTTTTATTTGCTCAATTGTGTTACATAGAGTATGCACATTAGACCGTACCAGAAAACAACTTTTAAAGCATTTTCGAAACAAACAAAAACTCCTGGCCATAGGGATTTCCTTTCCAAATTTTTCGGCATTTCCAGTCGGCTCATAAAATATGATATATTAATGTTCTTCTCTCGATAATAAATTGGTTTTTGTGCCAAATTTTTTGACCTCCATTATCCCGTTCTTTGACTTATCCATCAGTACTCAGTTCATAACGCACTTACGTTCTATTGTCAGTAAATTAAAGCTCTCTGAAAATCTTTAAATTTTCCCAAAGGAAAGCATTGATAGTTCCTCTAAAACTATTAAAAAAATTGTTTTTTCGCCGATTGTAGGTGTCACCGAAAAATGGTTTGGTTCGGCAAACAAATTTGGAAATTACCTTTCAAAAGTAGTTTAGATTCAGGGGTGTACGCGAATTTTTTTGTTTTCTTGTAAGCTGGTACAGTCAAAATGCACAAATGTACAAAAATGCATGTGAAAAAATAAAGCCGTATCACACCTGCTAGGATTGTTCTAGACCGAAAGAAATTTACTCGTATTTTTAAATTTTGAAATCAAAAAAATTTTAGAGGTCGCTGAAAGCGCTCAAAAGCAACTTTTCGTAGAAATGGTATAGAATTCTTGAAAATCCATATTTTTCGATCGGAACACCCCCAGAGTGTAATTTTTCCTTTACTTTCTTTTGGACCACCCTAATATAAATACATAGTGGCATTTATATTCATGCCTAGTTTTTACATTTCCATAA